CTAATAAGTTTTTTTCGAATTTGAAATTATTAGGAATGAAATCAGACCTTTCTTCAAATGACGTGATTTCTCGAATTAATGCTATAATAGAACGAAATCAGATTTTTAGCGTTCATGGAGATTTAATTCATGAAAAAGCACTTAACCTATTTAAATATATTGATAACAATTGGGACGAGTTAACCAATAATAATGATCGTGGATTTTTGAATGTCGTTTTAAGGAAGGAATGGATCCCTACATTTGACATATTTGGGAAAAAGGTTTTATCGAAACCTCAAAACTGTTACTGTCAAAAGGATAAAGATTTAGTTTGTCTTGTTTTTCCAACGCTTGAATATAACGTTAAGAATAAAAAGCTTTTGCAACATTTGAAGTGGGATGGATATCCAGAAGTTCAAAAAGTTCTAAAACAGTTGAAAATATGTTATGATGGTGTAACTACTAACATGCCATTACATGAGAATTTGGAAAAGATATGTAGCGCGATTTACGTATATATGAATGAAGTCTTTCAAGCAAATGATTCAACTGTTGAGCAGGATTTCGAAATTATAAAGAAAATTTTGGAAAATAAACCGTGGATTTTATGTGGTGATACATTCCGTCCGGCTAATGAAGTTGTCTTTCGTCTTCTATTTGAATTTCAGAGTGATATTGTTGAACTTCCCGTGGAATATAAAGCCAAATTTACGCCTTTATTTAAAGCCATGGGAGTTCGAAATGAAATTGGAAACATGGATTTAATATTGATTATTAAGAATATGGTGAAGGACAATAGAGACAGAGTATTCTCAGAAGACGAAATAGAAAGGATTATTCAAATTCTTAAAGAGATATTAAAAGAAGTTCCAAATCCGGAAAATTTGAAAGAAATATTAGTTCCAAATACTGAAAATAGGCTTGTGAAATTGGATCAAATTCGATTTAATGATTTAAAAGATAGAATTGACGAAAATGAAAAATGTAAACATATAATTGCTCATGATCATTTAACGGAGGAAATTGCTATAGGATTAGAAATCGAAACCTTAATAGGAGAAATATTTGGTAATCATATTTATTAATTATTCTAAAATTATAAATTTTATTATTTTGCTTTATCTGAACTCGCACATTTATTTATATTACTAGGCAATAATTCTGGAGACATTATACAAGATGAGTTATCGGCTACCAGAATAATAAGCAATATTAAGGTAACTAAATTTTATATGCTTTTTAATTAATCATATTGTATTAATTTTATTAAACTGCTTTGATATAACTTTAGGACTACTCGCTAGACAAATTGTTTAAAATATTTCTTCAGGTAAGTAATGAAACTTATCATATTTTTTGAAATAAGTATTGTATCATATCTAAATTTAAGCATGTTTTCTTCCTAATTTAGAATGCAGATGAAACCAAAGCTACACGGTTTTCAATAATAGTAGATGAAAGAGAACATAATTCTTATAAAAAATCTTTACTATCAAAAGAAATAAAAGATTGGCAAGGCCCTGCCATATGGATATACAATGACAAAAACACAGACATTCTTTCCTTGAGCGAACTTGGATGTTTTAATTGTGCTTTTAATTTTACAGATTTACCGAGCATTGTAAGTGGAAAGTATATTGCATTTTTTGATCCAAATGCCAAATTTCTTCCATCACCTAAAAGGAGTAGGGTTATAATCTTTGATTTCATTGAAACGGGATTTAAGAAGAAACTTGCAGATCAATGCTATCCTTATGAAGCTATTGAAGGGTGCGATTTTGCAAATGAATTTAAGGGAACGTTATTAAGACTTCCTCTTAGAACGCTTAGGCTGGCTGGTCAAAGTGAAATTTCGGATGAAAGTTTCAAAATTGGAGACATTTTGCGACAATTTATAAATGTTCAGGGTAATAAGGAGATGCTCTTTTTGAGATATATAGAATCATGTAATCTGTATAATATAAAAGAACAACAAGAAGCTCCTCAAATGCTATGGCAAGCGCAAATTAATCATATGCTGGATAATGTTAATACCAATCATAATCGCAACATTCGTAAAAATGTAACGGATAATGCGCAAATATATCAATTTGGCATTGAAATTAATAAAATCCATAACGAGAGAGTTTCCGAAATATGGCTATTGTGCACAGGAGGACATAGAAATATCAACTCGGAAGAACTTAGAACATTTTCAAGAGACAAACGGCTCAAGGTAAATAAATAACTAGTTTATTAATTTATCGGATAAAAATTTAGTAACCATTCTTTTATTAATAAAGCCAATAGGAGGAGTTGCTTCATTGCTTGCTCGATCTAGCGAACATTCTTTGGATGAACTAAAAGATGAATCAGTAATTTATAATTTTATTATATATCTATTTTGCAATTATCGTTTTAAATGATATTATAAATATTAATAATTTTTGTGATAGTTTCCAAATCCTCCTAAAATTCAAGGCGAAATGTTTTCATGTTATTCTCTATCAATAAGTACCAAATTAGGAGTCCACTTAAATGGAAACTTTTCTTTATTTAGTGAAAGAAGCAATATCCTAAATTCTGAAAGTATTTTCCCGAGAGTCGATGCAAAATGGAATCGATATATCCTATATGATGTTTTGCCTGATTTGCATGTTAAACTGCTTGATAATATCGTAAAACTTGAAGAAATTAGACATAACAGAGATAGTATAAATTTCATTCCACATACCTTAAATAACCTTTGGCCAATTATTAATAACTCAACTATGGAAATGTACAAAGATTATGGGTTAAAAGTTATTATAAAACTAGGCATTAATGGACATAAAATATTCTGGACTAAAGCTAATGATGGACGATTCGTTTCGTTACAAACAGCTAGACTTATTGAGGGAAATGGAATAATTATTGCAGACATATTGGCTCAATTAGGAATTCAAGCAGTAATATGTGATATTGTCAAACTTAAACAACTTGAAAATGCTAGATTTCAAAATACAAATTTGATGTATACATCTCTTAGCGGAAACTTGGTTTGCGAAGAATTAAAAGAATTTGTTATTTATGATGATATTATTGATTACAATTCATCACTTAAATTGCTTAATTATATTCTTCAAGATAAGAGTTCATTTGGAAATCTGACTGGATTACCATTAGTTCCATTAAACAATGGTTCTGTTGGAAATTTTGGTGAAATTTTTTACATTGGTAGTCAAAAACATCTAGATTTGTTCCCAAATTTTGGCCCATCCAGGATTATCTCCGTTAATTTGCCAAGAAATCTGTTTGATATCTTTATCGATGATGAGTTCTCTGAAAAAACAGGAATCAAAAAGTTTGGCGCTGCTGCCATTTTCGACCTTTTAATTGACGAATTACCTGAATTAGCATTTTCTGAGGAATATGAATGGGATCCTAATGGAAAATTGATACCAAATAATCGTTGGCTTGAACAAATTTGGTCAATTCTTATTGATGATGCAGAAATGTCAGATTTTACAAAACTTTCTGATTTTCCTCTGTTACCAATGACTGCACCTTCCATTATGCTTGTTCGACCTGATATAAAAAATCCACTTTTATATGACAATGAACATAATTTATTTTCAACTTTAGTCAAGCTAAAAATACGGTTTACAAATATGAGATTTTCCGAATCCGCTAATGAAAACCTTAAGCAATGTGTTGTGCAATGTACTCCTATAAATATAATTAATTCCTTGGAGCAAACGCGTTCTTCAACTATGAAGGAATTATTTGAATCTAGTGATCTATCACCTGAAGATTATGAAATGCTTAGAACATTTATTAAAGCTAAACTTGAAGTTTTAACAGGAAAGTCAATTTGATTTGCTGTTAAAAAATCTTTTATACTGAATTTGATCCTATGTATTCATATTTTTTATTTTTATTTATTAGAACAAGGAAATAGTCAAGAAGATTTTATGGATATTCTTCGCTCTTTACCAATATGGCCAATACACTCTAATGAAGGCGTGTTCATTGATGTCAATTCCGGAACACTTTATCCATCTAAACTTTCATATTTTAAATTTCACGAAAATACTGATTTCTATAAATGTGATCATGAATCTGATTTCAATGCACTTACTAGGTTAGGTGCCAGTTCTGTAAATGTATTGGAATATGTTAAAGATCCTTTATTAATAATTTATACGAGGTCTTCAAGTCCTTTTCATGATTACATCCCTTTCTTGCAGAGTGTTTTACGTTTAGAAATTCCGGAAATTGAACAATATCTTAAAGATAAACAAGTAGTACCTAAAAATTCACTAAGTGGTTTTGTAAGTGCCAATGAATTATATGACATGAACGTACGCTTATTTCGTATTATTTTTGCAGAAAGCGACAAAATTTTACCATTGGAATTACAAAATGATCCTGTTTGTTTAAGAGCTCTTGTAAGAATTGGTCTTAAGAGTCGAGTGGATTGTTATACATATATTGAATGCGCACAATATATTAATTTGCAGATCGAAGATAATGGAGATTCAGTTAGAAATCAAGCTAGATATTTGGTACAATATTTATATGAAAATGTCGATACTTTGAACTTCAACGATGAACAATGGAAAAGAATCAAATTTGTTCCATCGGAAAAGGATTTGGGTCAATTCTATAAGGAATCGAAAGAAACTTCGGGGTTTGAAACTTTTGAATCGATTTGTATCAAGAAACATAAAGATGTATGTTGGACTCAATGCCCGTTATATGCTGAAGATATTGAGCTTCCTTTATCAATTGGAATTCCATCTACAGATGATATTATTGAACATTGGTTTACTGTTGTTGAAAAAATAGGACTTTGGGGAGCTTCTGATGGTACTCGGTTAAAAGAGGTAATCAATGCAATTTATAACATAATGAACGAACGTTCACAAGATGCAAGTAATAGGGAGATCATATCAAAGATTAAGGGACAGAAATTATTCTTGAATGGAACAGATCCTTTTAATATGAATAATTGGAAAGCAGGGTGTGAGCTTATATTTGGTTCACAAGACGATACCCAAAGAGGATTATTTAAAGTTAAAGGGGTATTAAAGTCTTACAAGGATTTGTTGAAACTTGCTGACGTTATTGATCCAGAAGATCCAACAATAAATGATTACTTGGACATGTCAGATGAACAAAATGATCAAAAAGACAAATTATTAAGGGGTTTACTAGTTAAACTTATAAGTGACGAGGATCATGATGTCACTTTTATCGTTGGTGGAGAAAGGATTGGTGCTAATAGACATGTGCTTTCGGGTAGGCCAAAGTATTTTTTTTTTTACTCTTTATGTTTGTAAGATTTTTTCTCTAATCAATTATTTTCATAGCTGCCTCAGCACATTTTAGAAATATACCATCAGAACACAATGTTCCCATAAATGATATTCAACCAGATACATTCAAAGTATTTCTTCGATGGTTATATGGGCAATCTTTTGAAGATGCGAAAACGTCTGTTTTACGAACTCGAGAAGACTTTACAATGGATCTAGAATATGAAACATACTATTTATACTTTTTTGTTCATCTGTTAGAAATAACTTATATTTATGACGATGTTAGGATACTTAAAGGAATAGTTGAAGATACTATTAATTAGAGATCGGTTGGTTAATTATTGTAATGTGAAGCAAATTCAAAATAGGTTAATCAGATATGACGGATTTGAGTCGTCAATTTTAAATAATTACTGTAAAGAGTATATTAGATTAAATATAGGACTTTTTTAGATTATAAAGAATGAGAAATGTTAAAGTCAATTTAAAAAATTTTAAATAATTGTATTACAATACTTAGCAGGATTTAATCATAAATATTAATAAATAAATATTAAAAAAAAAAATATTATCAGAAATCAATGCTTAATATTGATAAGTTGATCCATTCAAAGACTTTTTCTCACATTAATTTCATGCCTGTCAAATTTCAGAGGACCTTTGAAACCCACAATAATATTGGCGCCGCGCCGTATAAACTATTAATTAATTAAATATATAGGCGTTTGTTGTTCTATTCATCACCTTTAAAATAATACTTTATTTATTGTAAATCACTGACAAAGGTAAGCATTGAATAGAAATTATTGGTAAGGCTAAAAAATTATAGGAAATAGTTTGAAGGCAATGGATATGAGTATGTCGTTGCATTCCTCGTCGTTGATCAGGTTTTCGTGATGAAAAATGGATTCACATATTCGAACTTCTATATATACAAAATCAAAGCGCTCTTGTAAATCATCGTCAACACGTGTAATCATAGACGAAGTGAAACTAGTTACGTAAAATATTGGTGCAATATATCCGATATATTTTTCGGCATCAACTTCTTGACGTGCCAGAATTCTCGTTGATTCTCTTAATGTTGTATCGTAAATGTAAGGGTAATTCGAAACTCTATTTGTTTTTTCATCATTGCTAATCTTATGAATTTACGTTGTTTGTTAAATTTGAAATCTTATAAATTCTTTACATTTATATTTATAAACAAAGAAAAATGTAAACAAAAAGTTTTCATAATTAGAAATTAGGGCAATTGAGATGTAAAAATTATTTAATGAAAATTAATTTATCAAGTGTTGCCTCAACATCGGCGCTCTAACGCTAATCGCTTTATGCTAATTAATTAAAACCGCGAACAAAAGAAAAAGAAAATAAAAACAAAAATTATAGTAGAAATAAATTAAAAATTTGACAATATCGCAATGTGAAAAAAAAAGGGAAGGAATATATTGTGTGTGTAATAAAAAAAAGAAAACGATCCTACCTAATTCCTCAAGAGAAAAACAGTATGATCATCAGTCTAACACGGCGATTCACGAACCAGAATTAACGTTCAGTGGTCGGAATTATTTTTATAACACTATAAATGATTCAAGTTCATGGTGTGATTTTGTTAGATAAATATGTGGTGGGATACATAGAATTGTGTGTGAGAACCTCGAGACCTCGTAGTTGCAATAGTAATTAAAACAATTAATTGTAGAAATTTTCCAGAGAGCAAAGAAATAATAGAATTTTACGCATTATCACAGTAATTCGTTTTTTATTATAATGATATTTTTCAAAGATCAAAAAATTTCAATTTCATAAAAAATATAGTATAATAATTGATTAAGATCACACAATATTATTCGTGTACTTGTCATTATATTAGTTAAAAGTATTATTAAATTAATCAGAAAGAAATACATCTACCATATGGGAAGATGCTAGGAAAATCAGGTCCTGGGAATTTTTTGATTTTTAGTTTTTGATGTTATTAGATTAATAAGGTCTTAATTTTAGTCAGAAAAAATATCCCAGAGCCTGATTTTCCTAGCAAACTTCCCATATTATGTTATTTATATATTATTACAATATTAGAATTAAATGTCAGTGTTCTACTATCAAAATGCCTTTAATAGAAAGAGTTTCGAGTGGGATTCACTATGACACTAATTTTGCATATAAAATTTTATTAGATATTAAATTTAAATGAATTCGTCCGTTTTAGACCAACAAAACTTTCTACTTCCATGGAATAGCAACTATTTAATAAAGAACTTATCTGTACAACGGACTCCATCGAGTCGAAATGCAATGATTTTTTTTTCAAGAAAATTGGACGCTTCATTAGGAATTCTTGACCTGTCGAAAAAAAAATATAATGTGATATACTGTATACAATGTGCTTTTACAATTTCGACCAATGAAAATTAAGATATTGAAAAATAAAATTGATTTTTTAAAATTTTAATAGACAACCTAACAAATGAAAAAGTATCATATATCATTCACTTAATGAGTAATATTAGTACAAGAATTCTGGAACTCGATCACGCATACATAAGTATACATTTCAAAAGTTACAGCATCATGTGACAAAAGATTGATGTTATCTTTACACGTGATCACCACTCAATTTGTTAAAATTGTGAAAATGATGGGGGTTATCTATTGTATTACCTAAATAATTTTAAACCTTTACAAGTTCTTATTATTATAGTAACTCCGACTTCAATCATTTTTTACTTTTTAACCTTTACAATGATTAAAATTTATTAATTACACAATTTTTATACGTTATTGAAGAAATAATTCGAAACTCCGACACGAACCTGGAATATGATTAATGTAGGAACAAAAATCGATTTTTAGCAACTGTTTGGATTATCAATAGTTAGGGTTGTGTAGATTAGTTTACGTTTATCCTTCTAATCCTTTACCCAATTACCCTTCCAATAAATCCCTTACCCGCAATAGTAAATATTTAGTAATTGTGTTTTTTTTTATATTGAATAAATATTATTTTGTTCATTAATAGTATTTTCATTGATTTCTATAATGTTGATTTCTTTCCAGCTAACGCAAATTATAATAAACGAGCGAGAACTTTGCGTATTGAATAACTTATCAAGAAAAACAACTTCTTTTGGTTGTCCAGTGAATTTTCAATTTCGTCCTATATGACGTTAAAGCAAGAAAAAAATGTTTAATTTAATTTAAAATTTAATCAATGATTAAATTAAATTAGAACACGTTCATGCTAAAAAAATGGTTCTTAGTTCATTGCAGGGCAATTACGACACGACATCATCGACTATAGTGACCTCTTTGCGGGATCGATAAGTTCGGATAATTTCATTCAAGGATAAGACTTCTTGACAGGATCGATAATAGTCTTCGAGGGATTACGACCATTTGATAGGATCGATAAAATCGGATTTTTTCTTCAATGATCACGACACTTTCAGCGGCATCAAACATCTTTCAAGGAGCACGACCTCTTGACAGGATCGACAAAAGCGGATTGTTTTCTTACAAGGACCGTATATCTTCGTATGATTCTTCCAATTTGAGAAATCTTCTAAACCCGAAACTGCTTTACAATTCCTAAGAACTGTCAATTTCTAACACTGCACCATAAGGGCAAGGTTACAACAATAGTTTGAGTAAGTTTCTAATAAAAATATATATCATATAAAAAAAACGTATTCTGAAAATTCTGATTTCATAAAATAATTATTTATCTTATTTTAACGTGAAAACGTATAATTTTGACATTATAGTTTTTCAATTTCTAGTTGTGAAGTTATTTTTTTTTTTTATCTGATCCATCCGCCTATATTTCGTTCTTGTTTATAAACTCACAAACATGTTTCAAAAACTTAAATCTTCAAACACAAAAGAAGGGAAATTGTTGAATGAGCAAATTATAAACATGAGTGTGATAGACTATTATTTTGCGGGTATATGAGTGTTACCATGTAAACATAAATCATGTAGAATAAAAACATATAGATATTTTGCCGTATGTGCAAATGTGAATTAAATTGTGGAACCCTTGCTTTGTAATGAGAAGTGTTATAAAATATTGGAATGTAATCATATGTTTTGCATTATTTGTGTAAAATTTAGTTTAATTCATAAATTTGATAGATTACTAGAAAATTACATTTCATAAATACACAAAACAATTTATAAAATATATTTTTAATAATCGCTTATTCTTTCATAATTTTCATAGGGAACAAAAATTCAGATCACTTGGTATGACGTTATTTTTGTGTTATTTACGAATGACGTAATGATAATCGTCGATGATTGTTCATTGGCCAACTTTTGTATTTTTGAAAATAAATAGAGGATCTCGCAACTTCATTTCTACCTTTATTCCAAATTTTCTTTACTTTTTGGTGGGTATCGTTTTTCGCAAGTTGTTTTTTAAAAATATTATTTACAAGAAGTTAACCAAAAAATAACTTACATTTTATTATTTCAAGGAATTTTTACACGATGACTCGAAGAACTCGACAGGTTCGCGTTCAAGGTGTCGCACGTGCAGTTGTCGCGCCAAGACGACGACATATTTCTTCAGCTCCCCTTTCTTCCATCCCCACTTCAGTTCCCTCTTCTTTAACAGCTGTATCTCCTTCTCATTCCCCTTCTTCTACAGCTGCTTCTTCTCTTTCTTCCGTTATTTCTTCTACCTCTTCTTCCTCTTCTTCACCCCCTTCTTCTCCTTCCTTAAGTTTTTATTCTCACTCTCCCACATTCCCCATAAGTTCCCCTACTTCTCCTACTTCCCCTACTTCAAATACTTCTTCGATTTCTTCTACTGGTCCTAACTTTTCTCCATCCCCATTTCCTTCTCCTATTCTCGCTCCTTCTTTAGTTCCCCCTACTAACCTTCCTGTTCTTTCTCTTCCTCTTTCCTCCCTCCCCAATACCACATCATATCGTTCTCCCCCTTTCCCTCCTTCCCCCTCTTCTTTAAGCTCATCCCCTGATTCATCCCCTTCTAATTCCTCCGTTTCTTCTTATTCCTCTAATTTTTCTACTCCCTCTTTTACCCTTTCCGTTTTTAGCCGCCCTTATATTCACTATCGTCTTCTTAGGTGGCCAGAGCCGATGGATCTTGATCCACCAGGCATTTTTGTTGAAACCCCATTTATCCCCCCTAATCAGTGGCCTGAACCAATGGATCTTGATCCTCCTGGTATCTACGTAGCCATTGATTATGGTTT